TATTGCAGCTCTTTTCAAGCTGTCTTGTCCGTCCTTAAGTTGACCCTTCTTCTTCACTCAACAAAAGTGCTGTCTATGCGTCTATTGACACTAGCCTTATGAAGCAACCTTTCAGACAGCGCCTCAGCTATTTGGGTTCGGATATTTACTGCAGATGGTTTCTTCTTCCGCGTGGTTCAGTCACGACGTTGAGGTTCTCCAAATGTCCCAGTTCGATTCTTCCGCAAGTAATTATCTGTCCAGTAAGTACATGTTCTGTACCAAGTTTGAGAGGATGAAAGATTATTAGATAACTTGGCTGATGACACAGATACAGCAATTGATCACACAAAAATGGAGGAAAACAGTTAATTTAGCCTCGCATATACATTATTTGGTCGCTTTTTTATTAATTCTTTACGAAACAAATGCATGTGGCATGTTTGCATGCCTTCTGCGAGGCAGGACGATAAAGGGAAAGCCAGAACGTAAAATATTTGTTAAACTTTAGACTGAATAATTATTTTTGTATGACTGGTCGATTTGGAGTATCGGACGGTAGTGCTTATGTCTTCAGCAAAGTTATCTAACGCCAAGGCAGTCGATCGTTTCGCTTTTACTACCTAAATGGTAAAAGAGGCATACTTATAGGAAATGCAACTTTTATCTCCGACTTCGCGTTGTCAGAGCGATTACAGGCTGACAACCAGCTGAGGAAAATCCGTAACCAACAGAGACATGCTGTGCACGAGCATCGCAAGATCAACCATTGGGATTGGCCTAGCCCAGATTTTCGCCTACGAATGTGGGAACCCAAACTGAATCTATTTAAAAGGTCAGTGATTAGATTAAAAAAATATGATTTAAGACATTTTGTTATAAACATTTTGGGATAATTATTAGGCTCAATTAAGGCTTTTTATGAAGTCTTAATCAAAGCAGATCCTTTTGAAAGGGCTAATTGTAGTACCAGTAAATTTCGATCTCTTATTGAAGCGAGGCAGAAAATAAAAGTCCATAAAATGAAGCTGCCATTCGCAACCTAAGACTACATATCATTTCATGTAAAAAAATTAAATTCGATAAGAAATCACATAGGAGTGCCAGAAGAGTTGTAGTATTATGAATTTTGATACTAAAGATAATTATGCCACTGACACCATTTTAACTACTGCTACGGCCAATCTGATTAATCAGAATGTATGGAGCATATGTGACTATAAAAAATCCTTCAAACAAAGAGTATTTTCTTAGTGTAAACCTGCGTCATATAGATTACACGGATTGGTCAACTGTTTATCAGCTACGGTGCTAAACAGAGGAAATTTTTCCTAGTTTACATTTACAATCGGACACCACCAATTTATTTTAGCTCAGGAAAAAGTTAAATTGTGAATGAAGGACTAGATTAGAAGATTCATGGAGTTGGCAGAAACTTTAAGAGAATCAATCAGACATGGACTAAATCATTCATGAGAAGGAATAATCTAGTTAAATTAACCAATAAAGGTTACTTGGTAAACTAAACAGAGCAAATATCGATGAATTATTTTAATCTCTTGCAGCAGAGCAAAATTGCATTGATTCATAAGAATACATACATTATTTGGACGATAAAAACTTCAAGATTTTGTTTGCGGGTCTCTAAATTTTTTATATTAATTATAGATGACCAATTAAGAGTTTTCTCTGGGTTTTATTAATTTTTAATACACGAATTTTTAGCAAAAAACCATTTTATTTCTCACCCTTCCTTAAGAGTATAGATATTCTTTGCACATTGAAGATGTTAGGTAGCTAATAGGGATAATTTTATGAATGAAAGACTACTTAATTTGTGCTAAATAGAACATTTGTGTGCATCTGATCCACAGCTGGAAGCTAGGTTTGGTCAAAATTATGGTAAAAATTTGGTCAGAGAGAACTTTGGCTTAGCATTGGCAGGAAAACTCTGGCAAAAAATAGCCTTTTCTCCATATTATCGTAACAAGTTCAATTCAAAACGTGTATAACCATGAAAGTCTTTATTTGCCAAACGACGGGTCAAAAGTAAGCTATGAGGGTTAATGAAAAATGAGAACTTCAGATTCATGGATATCTCAGCCTAATTCCCTTCATCATTCTTGAAAGCCGGACAACAAACGCTTATGGCATAGTTTTTCTTAAACTCACAACTCAAAGCTTGACACACATAATATAAGCTTAAATAAGATCTCCACATGAATACCAGTCTCTTTTTATTAAAAGTACAAATGCTTGAATTATGGTCTAACAGAAAGAGAGCAAGTAATACCACAACAGGCTCAAAATTCACAGCAAATGCTGACGAGTCTCCAGTGCTCCAATCATCCTCGGTCAAGGACATCTCTTCAACCAACTTGGTAGATGAGAAGCCGACCTTCGTGACTCGTCCGCTCTGTATCCGCCCTAGAACTGCACGCATATTGGCCGCAAGGACCGGCTATCTGCTTAAGGAGCGCTACGAAATGCCTCTCCCACATGACCACAGAGGGGTAGGTATATGCACTAGCACAAACTCATATAACACATATGATTTATAAATTAACTTTATCAAGGAAAATTGGGTACCTTTACTTTTTCCTCGAATTCCAAAGTACCGTGCTCGATTGTTTGCTATTAAAGCACCATCTTGAAAATTATACTCTTTTTTAAGTAATCCTGGATCATTTTTTATGGTAAAATCAAATTCTGCCTGAGGAATTTGTTGAGCGGATATCATTAGAACGTTAAGAAGGATTATATTTAGTTGTCTGGCCTTTGGCTACAATGTGAATTTATTACCTGAGCAGTCCTCGATACTTTTGGTCATTTACAATTTCGTAATTAAATTTGATTTGGTATGGCATAACTGAATTTAATACGGCTGCTGTTTATTTTAAATTTATAGCCACTAATAAGGAAGCAGATGTAAAGACAATAGCAAAATATGCCAAAATAGTTTTTCTGTATGAAGGGTTTAAAATATAATCTTGTAGCCATGTTCATACTCGTCCACATATAATAAAGCAAATAGTAGTGATATTAGAAGTTGCTTGACCTTGTTTTCGAAATTGGTCATATTGGTAGGAAAACTTAGAGAAACGCACCTAGTCCCGAGTCTATTGTATGCATGAAACTTCCCAGAGTTAGACCGTGTGCGTAATACATTCCCAGAAGTTTCGCCGGCATCGTCAGTGAATCTTCCCGATCTTAGCATCTCACTACAACTTGTCAAAGAGACAAGTGAAATCAATCCTTTGACCAGTTTTCTGCTAACCATCATGGTATCTTTTCTTCCACCCTGAGCTAATAAGCAATCATATATCTTCATATTATACCTTCACAATCCCACTTTTTTACTTGCTTATCTAAATGTGACGTGGTGTGCCCTTTTAAGCAGGTTACATGGGAATGTACCACATCCACGGTCCGACTCTGGTAGGGATCATGCATACTATAGACTCCGGAATAAGTGTGTTCCTCTAAATCTTCCTACCAATATGACCAATTTGCGAAAAAAAGGTCAAGCAACTTCCATATAACAAAAGGAGACTGTGGCCACACCATCTTGGTCTTCATACATTAGTGATATTAGCCAATCAACTTTCTTTATATACATGCAAAGTTTAATCAACTTTCCGGGCTTAAGTGAGTACAACTAAATCAATGAATAATTATCGTATTTGCTGGTCCTTTCATTCATACTAGACTTGACTTTCAAAACGGAAGCGTTGCTCGTCACGACAATACGGGCAGGTTTGCTATTCATTCTCCTCAGGGTCGGCTAACCTCGTTTTAGATAGATTTCTGTCAAAAATGATGTGCTCTTAAGATCTGAAATTTGATTTATATTTGGAATTAAAGCGTGAAGCATACAAGAAAAAGCATTTCAGCTAGACGTGTAACAAGATCATTGATAGATGAAAATTTGTTTACAGGCACAAAAGTAAATCCAAGACTTCGTTACGACTGTGATTCAAGAATTACTTGGAAAAGTGTGAAACGGAATACATTTTGGTCTTTGAAACCTAGACACACCTATTCAGTTGTATATTTCAGCAAGAATAACCTTGCGTTTTTCTTATTTTTTACCGCATTGACTATAAATTTTAGTACATAGATTAGCATAATAATTTCTTTTATTATGCCTTAAAGAGTAAATTCATCTTTGGGGCAATGTGGCAAATGTGGTAAATGAAAGTTTCCTTGTTTTTTTCTTTTCATCTTCTTGTTAATAGTTGCATGACTACTTTTCAAGGACAAACAATATTTCATCCTCATCAACGGTCCTTAATGCAAGAAAGCCCTACGATCCAGGTAAGTGAACGAATAAACGTGATCTTCTGTTCCACAAGTAAAGGTCTGGGCTCAAAACTTCATAAATAGCCATGCAGATTTAATTCGAACTTGCCATTTTGGGATGAGTCACTCCTTTAGTGAGCCCACTGTGCTCAAAGTCATATCAATGAAATTGCTCAGCATACAACAGAATTTATAATATATTTAAGGCACACTAATAGGTTGGCTTCAACTAGATAAAAAGCAAAGAATTTCTCAGATTCCAATGGGTATTAATGACATGAATTCATGAAAATTTAATCCTAGAGCCCTTTGAAATCTGGAAGTTCTACTGCCTTAAACAGAATAAAGATTCACAATGCACTATTTAATAATAAAGTCAGGTATTAATTTGCATTTACAAACGTGGGGCCCTAATTCAATTTAAGAGTCTAAATTAATTTTGGTGTGAATTCTAATTAACATTTTCTAGGTTTACCTCCATAGAGAAAAGAAACAAAAAAATTACTTGATACATACACTAGTCACATAATTTTTTTTATTGTGCCTTAAAGAGTAAAGTAAT